CTTCTGGTGGGTCAGCCACTCCCCCCAGTTTAGTATCATCAGCAAACTTGCCGAGGGTGCGCTCTGTGCCTTCCTCCAGGTTGTTGATGAATACATTGAATGAGACTGGACCCAGTCCTGACCCCTGGGGGCCACTGCTAGCTACAGGCCTCCAACTAGGCTCTGCGTCATTCACCACAACCCTCTGAGCTCAGCCATCTAGCCAGTTCTCAATCCACCTCACTGTCCACTCATCCAACCCACGCTTCCTGAGCTTACCTATGAGGATGTGATGGGAGACAGTTTGTAGGTCAGAGTTGGACAAGATGTATGGTTTTTTTTTCTTCTTTTGAAGCAGTGACTTCAATTTGCAAAATGGCTGAAGGGGCCTGCAGCACCACTGGAAACTTCTTGGAGTACGTGTATGGAAAGGTTGAAAATTACTGAAGTTCATGATACACAGATAATGCAGGAGAAAGTGGAGAATGTGAGCTTTCTTTCGTACCCTTGCCTCCCCCAACTAACCTTGTTGATCACTTATTGATTGCTGCTGGTGAGAAACATGTCTGATACGACATGTTATTGCACGTACTCCACAATGTTGGCTGGGCATATCTTTTATCTCTTTTTTTCTTATTTTTTTTTTTCCTCTCCATAACCAGGTACAGTGACTGAAAAGCCTGGAATCCAGATTGTTACTCTGATCTAGTGAGATGAAAACTCAGAAATTTCTTGCCCATCGTTGGTTTTTAAAGAAATATCAATAAGAAAAATAAGTGCCTCAGTTGCTCTTTGAGGAAACAAAAGCCATATGGAAATTTCCCTGGCATTCAAGATCAGGAAGTGGAAGTCACTTAAAGTGTCATGTACCATCTAATCACCTTGGGGAAGGTATTGTTCTTCATTCTGTTCACTGGTTTCTCTTGGAAACATCTGCTCTTGTTCCTGATTTTCTTTAATGAGAGCATAAGCAGTAGTGTTTAATTTATTTTTTCTGTCTCCTGTGCCTTTATTGTGATACTCTCATTTTCCATTTCTCTATGTGCCATGTTCTGCTAATATTTTGTTCTGTCTGGGATCTGTTTCTTGCCTCTGATGCTTTATTGCTTCTCTCTGGCGTTTTTGTATTTTTCTGTTGAGGGTAGATAGATACAATGATTGCTTTTGCAATCAAGAAAGTTTTCACTTTCACAGTAATCTCTAAGTTTGCTCAAGCAGCAGAGTTCTGATTTTATTTGCAGACTGTTGATTCACGTATAAAATTTAAAAGGTCTGCTTTGATCATAGGGTTGGACATGCTGTATAATACAGTAACGTAGAATTTCTCTCTGTAATTTCATCATCCAGCCCGTGGTTTCTGGCTGATATTTTGGATTTGAGTGTTCTTTCATGCAAACAATTAGCTTAAGTTACTTTGCTTCTTTTGGAAATTGATGACTCATCTGGTATCCACCACTGGCATCCTCCTTGTTCTTCTTCAGTGCAGGTTGCTTTATTGCCCTATATAGATTTCATACATCGGCATCCTTTAGCCCCTGCTTCCGAGCTGTTACTAATCTTGATATTGTCTATCTATGTACATATGGAAAGGATGTTTAGCTTTCATTGGATATTACTGTAAAGTCTCCAACTGACTTTTAAAAGCTAGAACCTAGGCTATGTAATATATAATTTCAGGTGATTTCTGTTGATTAATTTGTCTTGGATCCTGGCTGTTGGGGAGTGTGTGTGTGTGCTTTTGGGGTAGCCCATTTCCAGTTGACTGAAACTGAGTTTTGCTATTCACTTCATTGGGAGCAGGAGCAGCCATGAACTCTTATTTATTTATTTTGTGTTACAACAATTATAGTTCCAATTTTTAAGAATATAAATCAGAATACGGAGTGTAGGTATTACTGACTGGTGCAAGTGCGTCCTATTCCCGCCCCCCCAGCTCTGATGTTTGTTCTTGCCTTAAACAAAGACATTGGGTGGATTTCTTTTTCCATTGAGTTCCTTGGCAGTTAAAATTGCTCAGAGGGCAGCTGATAAATAATTTACTCCCATGAATTTCTACGTGCAATGAATTTTTCACGTTGTAGGTTGGTTTGACAGTTGTATGTTTATAAATATAACAATGTCTATTGCAATTTAATTTGTTTTTTGGCTTGCACCTTTTTATTAGAGTGATTGGGAAAACTGGATATTCTCTCGCTAGCTGAAAGTTTGAGTTAATGTTTTTGAGACCTTCTCATTTGTTTTTCCTGAAGCAAAGGTAACTTCTCTATCTTGGAATTGTACCTATGTGAATGCAGCTGTAGTAGAATTTGTTTTTCAGATATCTATCCCTATGCTCAGTTTACCTGTTCATGTCTTTTGTTTTCTATATTTGTATTCTTTTTAATGTAAACTTTTGCAATTTAATGGGTTGCTTGTGCTGTTACAATTGGAAGATGTGCTCCCAATATCTTCTTGTTGTGAAGGGCTGTGCTCTGGCAGTGATGATTGTTTGTCCTTCCCTGCTTGATCCCTAGTCACGTGGTTGACAGGGCAGTAAGTATGCAAACAGATCATACTCATTTCCATGCCTGTGCCTGAGTCTTGGCAGCAATATAAGACCAGACTTACACCTTAGCCTGGGTGTGTTGTTCATGTTACAATCTAACCTTTAGCATCAAAGGCCAGCTTTTGTGCTGATGTTCACAGTACATTGTAACCGAAAGAATATATATTTATTCTTTCGTGCAGCTGGTAAAGAACAAAACTCTGAATGTAATAAATGTACCTGATACTTATGTAATAAGTCATATCCTGTGTGATCTTCTTGGAAGTTTATTGCAGATCGCATATATTTAATGGTGGCTGCATGCTCTTATATGTTAAAGTACTAGGTGCATAGTGGAACATGAAGGCTGTGATAAATTTACTAGTATAAATAGTAGTAGCCTCTCATATACTACTTATTCTTACAGAGTGCGGGATAATACCTTGTGTCTCCAAAGCTGGAAAATGATCTTCTCCTCTGCATAAATAAAGAGGTCAGGGTCTAGATGGGACTTCCGTTTATGTGATGGCAGGGGTTCAGGGAGCTACCATGATCTTGCCTGGTTATTATTTAAAGCTAAAGCAACTTACAAACTTAAGAACGTGTGTGTGGCTCACAAAAGCCTACATCAGCATGGAACCTAACCTGTGTTAGGATGCCTCTTTTCTGGGCAGAGGGAAAGCATAGAAAAAAGTAGTAGTAATGTGCACTGTAGGCAGAGCAGGAAAGAGCAGGGAACAGGAGGAGTGAGGGTCAGAGAATTAGGTGCGTGCCTGAAGCTCTGCTTAGGATTTTACTGGTGCGGATGCATCAGTCAGAGTAGTGAGAAGACATGATCCCTGATTAGATAAGCTGTGTCAGCAAAATCTTTTGGCATTGACAGTTTTACCTGCAAAACTGCATTTTACCTATTTATTAACTCCTTTTGCTTATGAGGGTGGTTTTGGTATATCTATACAGAGCTTGCTTTGCGCTGGGATAGCTTCCTCCGTCCCAAGAGCTTTTGCCGGCAGTGCGTGCCAACGCAGCTGTAGGGCTGAAGGGCTCCTAGGCTAGCTGTGGCTTACACTGGGGCTGGACCTTGACAGCACCAATGGAAGATCTACCTTTTCTGCAAAAGAAGAAAAGTAGAGAAGCAGTCAGGAGGAGGCGTTGCTCAGAGAAAGGGATAAAGCAGAGGATTTCCACTCTGCTACCTGCACTGTGCTGCTACACAGTCAGGTAAGAGTGAGGGAGACGGCAAGAGTCAGAGCCTGTAGAGGATGACAGAGGTCAACACTGAAGGTACCTGCTGGAATCCTTCGGTCTGACCTCCTTCATAACACAGCCATAAGTGCCAAGATGTTTTTTTACTTGTTTTTATTTTCTTATTCTTCCCGGTATAGACTGTGGTGAGGTTTAAACAAAAGAGAGAAAACCTGCAAATAAAGCAGGTAGTGACAGCTGTGACCAGCCAACATACACAGCAGAGTCCAGACATGCAATTAAAGCAAAATCTGTCTCTCTTTTTTTAGAGCAGATTGACTGGAGTGGTATTGTTATTTAATCTCTGAGAGTCTTCTCAGGCTCTGAGCTCTTCTCAGGCTGTAGTAGTGTCAGCTCTCTCTGATCTTCTTCAACTGAGTCATTAATAAGTCATCAGAGCTGTTCACTTTCCATATGAGGATATGGGAGAAAAGCATGTCTGGATGCTCCTTGGTAGTCAGAAAGGAAAGTCTGCCAAGGACAAGAAGCCTGAACTGCGTATGGCAGACAGAGAGCTCTTAGGTCTCTGGATTACATTGAGATTCATTAGTTTTCGAAAGAAAAGCTGAAAATGTGCTTATATTGGGAGGGAAGAGGGGAGCTGTAAGTCTGCATACTTCTAGTATAGTGAGCAGCTCAAAATTATAGCCTGTTAAATAGATGTACGTATTTAACCTCTGAGAAGGGCTATAGGTTCCTGCTGTAGCACGATAAGAATAATAACACATTTAGATTGTGCTTTTCAGAGCTATGCCGTCATTAGGTATTTTAACGTAAAGCTAGTGGGTAATGTAGGAATAGGATTTTAAGCTTTTTGATTTAAGGGCGAGGGAAATGTTATTTTACATTTAAAAAAAAAAAAAACCTCCTGAGAATAAAAAGAGGTTCAGACACTTCTGTTCTGACAGCAGGTTCATGGCGTCTTTCAGCCTTCTCCCAGGAGAGATTCTTGTACGGGAGCTCATTTCTTTTCAGATCTGACCACCGTAGCCCTCAGTAATTATAGCAATGTTGAAATTCCAAGCTAAAAACAGAAGTGCAGCATGTGCCTATTCCCCATGTGATTCACAAACCAGGAAATTGAAAAAGCCTGACTGAGAGGAAAGGAGTGCAAAGCAATAGACACATCTAATATGTGTTTCAAAACCTGCTATGCCTGGGACTTAGGAGCTGTCATCTGCTGGAGCTTATTATGTATGCAGTTAGAGCAGAGCCTGATTGGGTGTAGTAAGACCTAAGGCGAGGGAGAGAGGGAGTGGAAAAGAGAGTTCGGCTTGCAGCACTGAAATGTAAACAGTGGAAAGCGAGACAGAGTATAAAGCCTTTATGCTCTGAACAGCAAGCAGCACACAGCGAGCTCTCGTGGCTCTTGTAACATACCTTTTGCACATCTAGCTGTGCTGTTCTTGATGAACAGAAGCAGACCCTTCGGAGAATCTCCTGCCTGTGGATATAAATAGGGGGCAATTGGGATGCGCTAGCTTTCTCCACCACTGCAGCTCCTTCGTGCTCTGCACCGTAGCTCGGACGGGGCAATGGAAATGAACATGAAGAAGTTCACAGTGCGGCGGTTCTTCTCAGTGTATCTCCGCAAGAAGTCTCGGTCGAAGAGCTCGAGCCTAAGTAGATTTGAGGTAAAATTTGCATTAACTTTGTTATAGGTAGCAAATATTGTTATGTGCTGGTAACACAGATGCAGGAGAATGTCTGCACTTGCTGGCATAATAAATAAAGGTGATCTTTCCCCAGAGGTGATGGTGTTCACACCTGATGTTCTTTGTTTCAGTGTAATTCAGTGCCTTTTGTTGGTAGTATTTAATGTATTGCATAATATATGTAGTGTGTTGCTAAGGATCCGTTTGTCAGCCTAGGTTTGTCAGCCTCCCCCCTAGGATGGGAGGAGGAAACCTGGTTCAGGACCTCATGAAGTTGTAGGAAATAATTGCAGATTTACTTAAATTAGCACAAATGGCACTGTAATTTGTAATAGCCTCCTATTTTAGTCTTCCTCCCCTGCCCACATATCATTCTTTCTCAATTCTGGATTTCCAATTAAATAATTAATTTACTAGTGCCTCCTATATATTGTATGTAAAATAGAGCTTTTCTTGCTTATTTGTCCAAGGATTCTCATGCTTATGCAGATTTTTGCCATCATTTTCAGCCCATGCATCCTGGTATTTTTTCTTTTTATGACGAGAATTTCTTCTTTGGGAGGAGAGGAACAATGTCAAATTAAACGTAAAATGATTTAGCAGTATAAGGAAATGAAAAGCATTTCAAGTAAGAGGTATTAGCAGATAGGGATGTGTGAATGGGGTAGAACCAGGATTTCTGCCTCCCTTCCTTGAACCATTGTTCTTTGGCCCTATATTTGGAAGCTGTGAATAGTCGGCAGGAAGTGAGATCAATTGAATAAATGTCAGTTATATTTATGTTGTTCACTTTATCATTGCAGATGATCTGCAACCTCTGCATTAAAATAAAGGTATATGAGGCCTGATTCTCCTCTGGCTAACATTTGTTTTATGCTGGTGTACTTCAGTTGACCTCCAGGGAGTCGCTCTGATCTGCACCAGTATTCCCTGGAGAAGGATTACTCTCATGCTGTGTGAATACGTTTAAAAAATGTTTTTCCCTTAGTGTCCTATTTAAAGTACCAGGTAATTGTTTGAACATAAAGTTCTTCATGTATCATTGCTTAAACAGGACATGCAGAAAAGCAGAAGTGTTTTGCTGGTTTTTTTTTTTTTCCCTCTAACTCTTTGATATCACTTTTCTGGAAAAATGATCATGTAACATACCTAATTTTATTTCACCCATCAAATAGTCATGTCACGCATTTAAAACAAACTAACAAATGGAAGCTGACATCAGTTGGTAAGGCTTCCCCCAGCCTTGCCCCTGCAGGGTTAAGGCAGGGGGAACCCTTCCTCTCCCAGTTGTGAATCCAAAATTGCAAAAGCTAAGGTGAAATAGATGTTCCCGCTAACACCATAAATTCACCAAGCTCATGCTCATTCAGAGGCAACACAAAGTAATCTGGAGTCACTGAGTTAACATGAAGGAGTTCTCCTGTGACAGAAAGGAGTGTCTTCGTGGGCTGTCAGTATCAGGGCACAACATTAGGAGGGGAGGTGATTTTGAAGACAGCCAAGTCCCACCAGACCTCAAAACTACCTATTTGACAGTGCTACAGAGGGGGAGGAACAGATTCTACCACACTAATTTCTTAACTTAACTGGATAGTGTAACTAGTACAACGACTCAGCATTTGTAACAGGCCAGATCCGGCTTCATTAAAAAAAAAAAAAAAAAGTCATCTTTACAATCCTTTTGATCATCAGTATCACATTAGATTTACTGGATTTTTTCATTGAATATCTGTATTTTTTTCTTACGTGATTTGCCCTATAATAAGATTTTTTAATTTGAAATAATTTCCTTCAAAAAGCAACTTAATAGATATCCTATAGCACATCTAAGTTTTGAGCATTACATGCACTTCCCTTCTCCCTTTACTTGGCAATAATAACCCACTTTATGCAAAGTGACTCAGTATTATAATGCAACAGGGAATAGGGGTTGTTCCAACCAGGAAGAAAAAATGATTCATAAAATCTGTTCTGCTATTTAAGTGTGAAAATCATCTGAGATGTTCCCACTTAGAGGGAAAAACCAAACATGAACATCGAGCCCCCTCTGTGATTTCCATCCCTGAGTACTTCTGTGTATAAATTTGTAATTGCAGGCTAATGAGTGTTCATCAGCCAAACAGAAAGTGTGGAGAAGCCTGTTGGTGTTGGACTTTTAGAAGTCAGAATGTTCTTCATCTTAATAGGTAGATATTTTTAAAGAGGCAGTAAAAAGGCACAAGTTATTACATCATGGCATGAGTAAAAGTGAAATAAAGGGAAGAAATTTGGAGAAACACATGTGGCATCGCTTTTCTTTGTGCGTGCTAGCTAATACACCTGACAGAAATTGTGTGTTGCTAGATGTCATTTGAAATTTGGAAGAGGAGAGTTCTTTGTAGGTTGTATGGGTATTTGGGGGGTGGGTGAGGGGGTGGGTGATGGCTTTAAGATGGATTCAAGCATTTGATTCAAGCTGCTAGATTCAAGCATTTGATATTTTTATAATACCACCATAATAATAGATTCAAAACCATACAATATTTATTATTAATATATGATTGATTACTTATTTTCCTGTGGAATTCTGCTATGGTTTAAATCCAGTTGGAATGCATTTCCTAACTTCCAGAGCAGGGATACAGATGCAGAAAATGACTTAGCAAATCACAGCTTGTGACTTGACTTTTACTTAATTGTTTCGTATGCCAATATCATTGCTATATCTGAGACAAGATCATTGCCTTATGTAGATGGCCAGGTTTCACACTATAGTCCTGCTAAGGGAGGGGAGGCAGAGCAGACCGTGGTGACTAAGATATTATAAGAGTTTTATTTTATCTTGCGTAAAATGTATGCCCTTGTTATCATTCTGGGAAAACTTGACTGAAATTGGAACTTATTTGGCTACACTTTTAGTTTTTAGTTTATATTATTTTTCAGTATGGCCTGCATTGCCCTTCATTTATAAGGTATCTCGTGATGTCATTTTATTAAATGCGCAGAGCCAAGTTCTGCCCTTCTGTATGTGCATGCGTTTCTTACTGGAGTATGCTGAAAATCCCGTGAAGTGAGTGGGAACTGCATGTGTGCATCCCAGAGCAGGGCTTTGTTTATGGTTCTTGCTTAGTGTTGATGAACACGAATGTAAAACCATGAGGAGAAAGTACGCACAGTGTGGATCTGCTAAAGACTTTGAGCCTCAGTGGAATGCATCTTACAGCAGTGAGGAATATCCTTTGATTTATAAATCATGTGTCATTGCTTAAACAGGACATGCAGAAAAGCAGAAGTGTTTTGCTGGGTTTTTTTTTTTTTCCCTCTAACTCTTTGATATCACTTTTCTGGAAAAATGATCATGTAACATACCTAATTTTATTTCACCCATCAAATAGTCATGTCACGCATTTAAAACAAACTAACAAATGGAAGCTGACATCAGTTGGTAAGGCTTCCCCCAGCCTTGCCCCTGCAGGGTTAAGGCAGGGGGAACCCTTCCTCTCCCAGTTGTGAATCCAAAATTGCAAAAGCTAAGGTGAAATAGATGTTCCCGCTAACACCATAAATTCACCAAGCTCATGCTCATTCAGAGGCAACACAAAGTAATCTGGAGTCACTGAGTTAACATGAAGGAGTTCTCCTGTGACAGAAAGGAGTGTCTTCGTGGGCTGTCAGTATCAGGGCACAACATTAGGAGGGGAGGTGATTTTGAAGACAGCCAAGTCCCACCAGACCTCAAAACTACCTATTTGACAGTGCTACAGAGGGGGAGGAACAGATTCTACCACACTAATTTCTTAACTTAACTGGATAGTGTAACTAGTACAACGACTCAGCATTTGTAACAGATCCGGCTTCGTTAAAAAAAAAAAAAAAGTCATCTTTACAATCCTTTTGATCATCAGTATCACATTAGATTTACTGGATTTTTTCATTGAATATCTGTATTTTTTTCTTACGTGATTTGCCCTATAATAAGATTTTTTAATTTGAAATAATTTCCTTCAAAAAGCAACTTAATAGATATCCTATAGCACATCTAAGTTTTGAGCATTACATGCACTTCCCTTCTCCCTTTACTTGGCAATAATAACCCACTTTATGCAAAGTGACTCAGTATTATAATGCAACAGGGAATAGGGGTTGTTCCAACCAGGAAGAAAAAATGATTCATAAAATCTGTTCTGCTATTTAAGTGTGAAAATCATCTGAGATGTTCCCACTTAGAGGGAAAAACCAAACATGAACATCGAGCCCCCTCTGTGATTTCCATCCCTGAGTACTTCTGTGTATAAATTTGTAATTGCAGCCTAATGAGTGTTCATCAGCCAAACAGAAAGTGTGGAGAAGCCTGTTGGTGTTGGACTTTTAGAAGTCAGAATGTTCTTCATCTTAATAGGTAGATATTTTTAAAGAGGCAGTAAAAAGGCACAAGTTATTACATCATGGCATGAGTAAAAGTGAAATAAAGGGAAGAAATTTGGAGAAACACATGTGGCATCGCTTTTCTTTGTGCGTGCTAGCTAATACACCTGACAGAAATTGTGTGTTGCTAGATGTCATTTGAAATTTGGAAGAGGAGAGTTCTTTGTAGGTTGTATGGGTATTTGGGGGTTGGGTGAGGGGGTGGGAGATGGCTTTAAGATGGATTCAAGCATTTGATTCAAGCTGCTAGATTCAAGCATTTGATATTTTTATAATACCACCATAATAATAGATTCAAAACCATACAATATTTATTATTAATATATGATTGATTACTTATTTTCCTGTGGAATTCTGCTATGGTTTAAATCCAGTTGGAATGCATTTCCTAACTTCCAGAGCAGGGATACAGATGCAGAAAATGACTTAGCAAATCACAGCTTGTGACTTGACTTTTACTTAATTGTTTCGTATGCCAATATCATTGCTATATCTGAGACAAGATCATTGCCTTATGTAGATGGCCAGGTTTCACACTATAGTCCTGCTAAGGGAGGGGAGGCAGAGCAGACCGT